ATTTTCAGTACAAATCGGCAATTTCATACTTTAACCCCTATTATATTTAATAATATTGTTTGTAATTAATTTTTTATGTATTACCATGGCATGAATTTATTTTTATGAAATTACTCCACTAGATTGTTATAATTATCAATACAAAAGTAGAGCGGTTGCCCTAGATTGGTATCCAGACACAGTTCAAGTCCTGTCAGATCGAAGAAACCGCGGTGACGGTAAAAAATATCAATATGTAATTTCTAGAAAATGTAATTTCTATTTAAAAAAAAAAAATATTACAATATTTGCAATACAGACACACACAATACAATATCGCTCTCAGGTTCGATTCCCGGTTTGGGAGAAATATTTGTATGGGCTACATTTATTTCTTTCGTGAGTTTGGGTGTAATTTGTTGTCTATGTGTGTTCATGGTACCCGTGACACAGGGCTTCCCTAGTGCGGGGCTATGTTGAGTGTGTACATTATTTATAATTAATAATAATCTCACGATATGTGAAGAGCGAGGATGATTGCATGAGTGTTTATAAGGTGGGTATGTTACTGATTAGGTGTATTGTAAGTATGGTGTGTTTTTGGGGCGTTGTGATATGTATAGTGTGCGAACGTGTTTAAGCGAGAGCACTACGAAGTTGAGAACAGTTAAGAGGAATGTAGTGTTATTTCAGGATAGAAAGTAATTGCTCAGTGTCGTCTTAATTTATGGTCTTAATCCAGTCGGTGATAGACTTTTTACAGATTTTGGAAGCGCGTAAAAGGAAAGTTCTTTTTTTGTTTATTTTTTGTATAAACAGGGTGAGAGGAAGCAGAAGAAATGCTGAGAAAAACTGGTATTAACGGTTTTGGTTTGACAGGCCATTCCCTTTGTACGTTTATCCATGAGAACACCTTATTACTTTCAAATTATATTTACACCCTGTAAGTACAACTACAATATTATAATGACAACCCTAGGCACCGAGCGAATTGTATTTTCATTGCACATTGAACATGCGAGAGTTGCTCTACTTGCCTTAATATACAATGGAATAACCGACGAAATCATGAACCTACTTACTTAGTTACTACTTACTTACTTACTTAGTTACTTTGGTTAGGGAATAAAGGAACAGTGACACCTCAAACGCCTAGAAGCATTGTACCCCAGCATTGAAAGAGGTTGTCGGACCGTGAGCGCTCACTTCAAACCGATGAGCAGTTTGCATATCATGATTTGCATCAACCTCGGACAAGTGCGATAACCATGCGTTAATAGAGGGTGTCTAGGGTCTAGGGTTTGCTGTAAGTTGATGCTAAAACTGGTTTTAATGTTCCGTTGATGTTTTTTTTATTTATTTGTAACTTGTTATTTATTTGAACAGAAGAAGTAAGATCTCCAGTATGTAGCTTGCTACGTTACGAATAGCGGTACATGACATATTGCTGCGTTCACGTCACGAACACAAGAATCGAGGTCCGAATCGGTTTTGCTTCTGTGGCATGGATGCAATTTTCGCTTTGCCCGTCTGTTACGTCAGATGAACAGTACGTGCGTCGTCGTTTCACAACGTACGTATCTATGTATCTAGATCCCCTAGAGCAAATGCTAGGAATAACACAATTCTTCTACCGCTTCCCACATCCAATCTTGTAGCATGAATTGCCTGTTTTTGTTTGCGATATCACTTGCAGTATGATCGTAGCGGTATAACGAATGTCTGACTTTGAAATTAATTTTCCACTCGGCCTTTCTACTCAATGGGCTACGATGTTTGTGTCGAGTTGCACTTTGAGAGGCACTGGCGTGTAGTATCGGCTATCAACTCCCTTGCTGTTCATTGGGTCCGTCCCCGGGGCTGCTTAACTCGGCCGTGTGCACTCTCGTTTTAAAAATCCCACAATAAAGCCTGCTCTGTTAATTTTCAAAATAGGTCAAATGATGCTTATGATTTTTACTCTTCACTTCTCGAGCGAAGTAGGGACGGTTTATTTGCTCATTTCTTTTCTCATCGGGATAGATTAATTTTATAGGTCAATTCGTTTCTCGGTAAACTAACTATAGTTCTAGTACATTAGACGTAATGTACTATACATTAGACGTCGAACAGAAATTGCAATTGTATCAATTTTATGTGGATTTCTTGAAGAAGGCAATTGAGCTTTATTATTGTTTATTGGCATTGTACGCTTTGTATTGTTGTTTGTACGATATTTTGTACATAGTTGTGAATATGTACAAGACGAAAGCCTGTTACATTTATTGTATTAAGATCGCAATATTCAGTGTAAACTGTAGAATTTAATAGCGGTCTATTAGTCGGTAATTCCGGTCTAATTAAATCACTTCATTGTCGATGTTACAGAAAGAGTCTTAGGTCTGACAATGCATATCCAATTTGCTGACAGCTTTGTTGGCCCTACGGTTTTGACTTTAGGTGCTAGGTGAATAGGCTGTATCCCAATGGGACTTGTTCGAGAAGCAAATACTCCTAAATTAGCTCTGGCTCTTTTGGATGTACTTTATATTCTACCAGGAGCTAATTTCATGATTATGGTATGTATTCATAATACAGGTAATTCCTTCGTGTGAAGAAATGGTGTGATTATTTAGTGTATTTATTTCAAATTTCGGCTACAGTGATAGTATAATTATACAGAATTGAGTAAGGATTTAAAGAATTTATTCCATTTTTTATGATACTAAGTGATGACGTGAACAATTCGTGCGACTGGCGATAGGAGACACACCTATCCATATCCATAACAGTTGTAGTGCCATTCCGTGCTTTATATCGCAAAGATCTGCGACGTAAATTGAAAAGTCCTATGTGCCTGTAATTTCACTAGCACCCTTACTCTTCAAAACATGGTGGCAGAAATAGGTAATGTGACAATACTTCCCGGGCGAACTCTTTCACAAGGAGTTCTACCGATTCTTTCTAGATCAGATCAATATTTCGAAATCATTATTTGTACCTTATCTACAGAAGAATTAGACCTGCTGATAATTTTAATATATTTGAAAGTAGTTTGCATTTCGCCATAATTTCACCTAACGTTTTGAAATATCAGCACGTGTTATTATTTCTTTCACTTACTTGTAGTCTGTAAGATCCATTGTGAGAATTTTCTTAGTATAACAGAAAAAGTTTTTCTTTAAAATAATAGATAGGTAACTTCAAATGATAGAAATTAACCGTAGAGTAGGCATAGAGACCAGACTCTTCATTCAAGCGGTAACCTCGGATTAATTCCAAGTCCATAAGTCGACGCGACGGCGACGTGACGTGACTGACTGCACAAAGGCATTCATTCGTTCAGCATTTGTCGCCAATCAGTCCCAATCACTATCAGACATCTCAGTTGACATATTTTAAACATCAATGCACATAATTTGAAAAGTAAAAGATATAAAAATAAAAACGAAGAAAACATGTCAGTGCCGGTAGAAGTTTTAGTGCAGAAGGAATATACGAAGAATATAAAAATGAGGCTGGAAGATATACAAAGTATTGGTGATTGGCTCAAACAGCAGCCGCATTTGCCGCAGGAGTATATTACTGGTCTGTATAGTGGATTCAATTTTGTTAAATTGAAGTAGTGAATTAAGACGTGCTTGCAGTAGGTAACGTAGTTAAGACCGAAATAGTAGGTACTTCGAAGTTGTATACACCTGCATTGCACTTTGTTCTACGTGAAATATCTTGAAACAGTTTGTCTCTGATTATATCCACTGCATCGCTAAAAAAAGTTGAAATAAAATAACAACGTTCGTACGAAATACTGGCCACATAAACCAGAACAATATTTATGAAATCAAAAGACGATTTAAGTCATTCTTTTTTTCAAATTAAACATTCTGGTATATGCGGCCAGTGGTCAATGAACTATCGAATATGTAACCAGAAATAAAGACGAAATAAGGGCTATCCATCCCTGGCAACTCAGACAGACAAATGAAATTTTGAAGGTGAACAACGTTGACCTTATGAGCCATCCCGCCTACAGTCCTGACCTGGCTCCTTGTGACTTTTATTTATTTCCAAAAATTAAGAACCAGTTACGCGGTCAACGATTTTCGTCACATGAAGAGGCTGTCGAAGAGTATGAAAAATATGTTTCAGTGATTGTCACGGAGGAGTGGCATAAATGTTTTCAAAATTGGTTCATTCGTATGAAAAAGTGCATTAACGCTAACGGAGATTATTTTGAAAAGCAATAAATTCATTTCTGACCATGTATAGTATTTTTTCTTATTCATTCCGGAAACTTATAGTGCGCCACACGTATCACTTATAAATAACAACTCTCATTTCCACAGAAATCACAAATTAGAAAGCTGAAATAGTACAGCGCCAGGAACTGACATATTATATATATTCCAAAAATATTATGTATTCATTGTAATAAAGATAATATAACTATATTAATATAACTATGGGGGCTATGGGGCTGTCCCATTTAGTGGTGTGGGAAAAAAAGAATCACATTTTATCGGTAATAAAATATGTAATTTTTAAATTTTCGTCCATTATAGCAAAGCTCAAGTTAAACTGGTTGATTTGAAGTGAAACAATTGATGACACCGTCAATTGTTTCGAATTCGGGCTGGCCAATGGGAGCACACATTGTCACCGTAATGATTTGGCAGAATAGTTATAACAGAACATATAGTTCAAACAAATTAAATGACATTTCTTCTCTATTTCTGGTTATATACTCGATGATATAAACATTGTTATCATATTCAACTTTTTTAGCTTTCGTCAGAGTAGGTACATAATTGTAGGTCAGTAGGACCTTAAGACCATATTTTGTAATTTAGATGTTTTTACAAATACTGCTTTAGAGCGCTAGTAATGCGATTGTAAAAGGTCCTGATTCCTATCGTCGTTGATTTTTTATTTAAGGTATTTATTTGACCTTAAGATTGAATTTAAATGCCTAATTAAAAGCCCTATTCTCATTAAAACACTCTGTAGAAAACATAGAAAACATTACTATTTGTCACTTTAGGTTTCTTGCCCTCACCTGCAGATATGTCTTACTTATTAACAATAATTATAAATTATAAATCGTCTATTAAGTTCCAATAATAGACAAATAATTTAAAAAATAATAATAAAATAAGAAGTAAATTAAAAAAAAGAGAAAATTAACTGCACGCAAAAATATTCTACACAAGCGCAACTATTTTGCACGATTTAACCTTCACTGAGTACGCGGAGTAGCAAATTAATTTACTTCTATTTTATAAATTAAGAATACTTTCGTTATAGGATTAAAGAAAAAAACAGATATACTGTTTCAAGTGATAACGGACATGTATTCGCACAATTGAGGACACACAAATCGAATGTTAGCGAGATACCTATGATGAGAATTATTGCAACCCAAATGGGTAAATATATTGTATTGTTTCAGACTTAGAAATCATATTGGCATATCACAGTTGCGAAGGTTGCATCGAACAGACTACGAAAGTAATTGATCTCAATTACACCTTGCGTACATTGTTTTCTTTTTATCAGAACAGACGAATAGATATCAGCTTAGAGACCGCTCTTCATACGTGGTTGGTATACTAATATTTAAATACAGTAAATAATAAATTATAACCAATTGTCGGAATAGGCTGTTCCAATCGAGTAGATAAATGTTTATATATGTACAGACACAAAGAATGACATAGAGTACTTAAAACCACCAAATATTAATTACTTACTTTTTCAAATTCCGAATTTCCGGAAATAGTTTTAAAGCATCTTATGGGTGGATGTAAAAGTACAATACACGCGTAAGTTATAATCTCCGTACAGAGTACTAAAAAAACTGACCTCAAAAGTTCGTGGAATTAGATCTATTTGCCAAGTTTTATTGAAATCGGTTACCGAAAAGAACGTCATTCAAATTTAAATGAGATTACTACTTCAGTAGTAAAGAGTGTACCTACTGAAGTAGTAAAAAGATAGAAGTTAAAAAATAATTCAAAAGCGGTTCTCAAGTTATCGCGTAACATACGTACACAAAAACATAGAGGAATTGAGAACTTCTTCCTTTTTTTGAAGTCGGTTAAAAACAAGCTATTGCTTGTATTTTTACATGGCGCCACTAGAATGTAGAGAGAGAGTATATATGTTTGTATGTTATGAGTATGAATGTTGAGAGTAGTTTTATCCAAAAATGTAGTAAAACCATTTTCGGAAATCCGGAAGTAGAAAAGTCATTATTACTTGAGGGTTTTAACCACTCTATCACGTCACGCCTTGTATTTGTATGTATACGTTTATCTACTCATTTGGAACAGTCTATTTTGACAACTCCTTATTATTATTATTATACTCTATGTATATAGCTCGATTACCACTCACTGACTGACTGAATCAGTGATTTAGATAATTGTTCTCCCAGAAGGAGTCGCGGTGGGTAAAAATGATGTACGGGAGTCGTGATCGGATGGCTCCGGTGAGTACCAAAAAATCCGGAAACTTCGAAAAATGGACTGCATCAGGTGGGACTCTAGCTGCGCGGCCAATATATAATACCTACCGGAAGGGTCGTTGAACTAAAATTGACCGCCATCTTGGTCACTTTCTAGCGAAAGTGAAAAAAATTCGAAATTCGAATAAACAAGATGGCCGCCATACAAATTTCAGAGCGTTATAGCTCGGCGAGTATTGGAGATAGGCGGAGGGTGCTCGACTAAATGTCATAGAGGGCGGTAGGGGTCAACTGCCAGCGACAAATTTTTTTCAAGATGGCTGACTCAAAAAGGCGGCTCCAAAAAAAGGTGGTCCGATCCGGCTGAAATTTGGCATGCGGCCGTGTATGGGGGCCCACAATGCGAATATATGGTTGAAATTTCGATTTTTCTCCCAGAAGGAGGGCGGGAGGGTAAAAATAATGTAGGTGAATTATGGTCAGACGGGAATTACTGAATATCAGAAGGTAACGAAATATTCGAAACGTGCTCCGCATTAGGTATGACCCCAGTTGCCCGGCTAAAGTATACGTCGTGGCCCAAAGTCTCCAAACAAATGTTCATCCACACCTTGGGCAGTTCCTACAAAGAGTGAAAAAAATTCAAAATTCGAAAAACAAAATGGCCGCCATACAAATTTTGGGAGCTCGTATCTCGGCAACTATTGGAGATAGGTAGATAGTGTTCAAACTAATATCGTAGAGGGCAGTAAGAGCTGACTGGCTGTCGGAATATTTTTTTCAAAATGGCCGATCAAGATGGCGGCCCGACGAAAAGGTGCTCCGATCCGGCTGAAATTTAATATTCTTCCGTGTTTGGGAGCCGGTAATACGAATTTGCAGTCAAATTCTTTATTCCGCCATTTTCCAATATGACCGCCATATATTTTCCACAGTCCACTATGTTCCGAGGCCTACATCTCGGCAAGTGTTGAGAGAGAGGCGAGATGAGAGGCGCTCAAACAAATGTCGTACAGAATAGTACGAGACGACTGCAGGTAAAAAAATTTTCAAGACGACGGACTCAAAATGGCGGCCCGAAATAAAAGTGCTCCGATCCTACTGAAATTTGACATCGGGTCCTGCATGGAGACTCATAGTATGTATCTGCGAACGAAATTTGGACTCCGCCATTTTCCAAGATGGCCGCCATACAAGTGAATTTTCGGATTTTTGACCAGCATATTCTCACAGAAGAAGAGCGTATACACCCACGAGTGATGTATAGGAATAATGGTTGGGTGGATTTGGTGACAGAAAGTACCAAAACCATCGAAAAGTGCTTCGCATCAGGTAGGACCCCAGCTGCCGGGCCACAGTATACGTCTTGGCACCGAGGTCTCTAAACAAATGTTGATCCACATCTTGGGCAACTTTTAGAAGCGGTGAAAAATATTCGAAATTCGAAAAACAAAATGGCCGCCACTCCCACTCAAAGTCAAATAGAGAGAATTCTCTACTGGAATATGAAGTTCAACTCCTAATTTGTCACCAGAGACAAAGAAAGCCCTCGCGGGCCGCTTTAGCAGTCCAGCGCAACGCGTGCCATCTAGTGATATATATATATATTATTATACTATATATAGCTCGATTACCACTGATCTAGATACTGACATAA